ACCCCAATCTCATTAAAATCAGATCTTAGTTCCCGCTACCGAGTGGTCAGGCTCGCTGACTTGATGCATGTCATTGTATCCCAACCGGGATCGATGCTCATGCTATCAATAACTGGATTGTCTGGTCCAGACTCGATGTTTACAGATCGCCGTCATGTACCTGCAATATTGCTGAGTGCGGCGTTAAACAACAAACAAACAAACGCTAAACAAAGATCTGAGGACATCCCATTCCATGTCACGTCAGGCCGACTTTTCGCGAACTTTGACCGACCAATGGAATGACTGACGATAAGTCTGCATAAGCCAATCAGAGGGCAGCTTTTAAACTGGCAACTACGCTTCGAAACATATTTTGACAAATTCTCAATTAAAATTGTGAAAACTTAACAAAAGACGTTCTGGAATGGCTAATAGATGGCCTAGATTGTATGACAGTACAAACGGACTTGGTATCTTCCGTTCAAAAGTTTATCCCATTGAAGCAACAGATAGCCGATGATTTTGACGGATTCGGTCGTAGAGCCCAACTGTCGTTCGGAATACCTCGTGTTAACTTTTCGAGATTGCATGATTAGTAAAAGACATTCGGACTGTCCCATTCCTGATCTGGTAAGCGACGCGCTCATTAATCGGATTAAAGGTCGTTCTGACGTGACCAGTAATGTCATTTCCTCAGGTCTTTGTTTAGCGGTAGCGAGAACTAAGATCTGATTTTAATGACATTGAACCACACCCTCGGTATGCGATCGAATGGACAAGTGGTTGATAGTAAGCGGCCACACAATTCAGCTAGCTGAGAGTCGATGCTGTGAACCTCCTGCGCATCGCCGACCAATACATTGGTGTGCGTAACCTAAGGGTCGTTGATTTGAGGGGCAGTGAGTTAGATCGATCTACGTAAATGTAACACGATCACACGCCTTCATAAAGCTGAGCGCGGCAAGAAACAACAAACAAACAAACAAACAAAAACACACACTGTATCCAATTCAGGAATCGAACCCGGGTCCGTCATGGAGAAAGTTACCGCCGAACTACTCTCTAATTCCACAGGCACAAATGGTAGCTCTCACGTTCGATTTTAAAACCTCGACGACACTGCATGCATGGTGATTCGCATTGACCAATGTATAACCCAAGGTAACCTTGTCTGACCAGTGTTGGCAGATGTCAACTCATTGACGTCATACTTCTGCTGACCTTAGTTTCCCAATTCTACTGAAACCCTGGGTAGGGGAACTCTGGTCAACAACCTTAAGGTGACGCCATTGTTAAAGCTAATTAGTTTAATTATCGATTTAATCATTAAAAACATTTTAATTAAAATAAATTAACTAGGTGTTGATAGTATTTTGTCTTCTGACAGACATTTTATTATATACTTCAGTGTGAAAGACTGAAGTTGAGAAAAGTGATATTTTCTATAACACTTGATATTTCACTGCAGTAACCATAACACTTTGACGGAACTATTGTCTCCCTTTATCGTAGGTATGTAGCCCGTAAAGAAACTGCTGGCGTCCTTTTTACGTTAGGTCCACATTGACAAGGCAAATTAATGACAGATGGCCATTTATGTTTTTTATACTTTTGGTTGTATTTTTTAAGAATTTGCAAACACGAAACTCCTTTTTTACGCAAATACAAGGGTGTAGGGTGTGGGGAGGGATGTGGGTGGGTGAACCGTCACTGTGTTTTAGGTTGGGAGAATATACTTTTCAAGGTTTTTTTCCGGTAGACAACTACACACAAAGAATATAAAAAATAGGAAATTCCATGTGTCTCGTGAAATATCAGGTTTCTCTCATCTCGTGACGGAGGAAAAGGAGATATTTACACAAAAATGTCTCCTTTACCCACGTCACTCGAAAGGCCTAATGGCCTGCAGTACAATTGCAGTGACAGAATAAATTGTCACGTGAAAAAAGTTGCAAGAAATATTTAAACTAGGTTTTGTATGAAAGAAAAACATGTCATAGAGTGGATATTGGTAAACATTCTTCAAATTTAGTACATTGATAATTGTCTCTGTAGAAGATGGGGCCAATATTTTAATCGTAACTGTGAAAACCCAGTACAAATACACATCACAAGAACCACAGTTCTTACACATAGCAGGTAATTGGTCAACATAATTTAATTTAATATATGTCTTCTGGTGTACGTTAAGCAATATACACTTGTTAATCCACATAGCGGTGTGTTATAGCAATACGCTTGGCTGCTGTGTTTATCGTTCTGGCAGCCATTTTGTAGTATAACTTATTTTTCATTTTATGCGTCTTCTTTCGTATATTGCCCTCTGTTATTCTTGATCAACACTGGTTGAAGCTTACTCTGTCGCCCAGACCCAAGATAATATATTAAAAAAGGAGTCCAACTCAAGTCTAGATTGCCTCTGCTCTGGCACTAATATTGAGGATTGATCTGAGGTCCATTTGGACAACCCAGGGTGCCAGAAATGGTGGCTACGTCACTTGACTCCCTCCGTCTTCTCACCCAGAGAGAGAGAGAGAGAGAGAGAGAGAGAGAGAGAGAGAGACCCACGGGATGGGTATGGTGCGTAGTCAAGGCGAATCGGAATTCGAACCAACGATCAGTTGTTTCAGGCACGCCTAAGATACCGTAGACGATAATGGACGTACTAGACAATGAAAATGATAGCTGAAAGTCAGCAGCCTATCTGAATAACGGGTTTAATGATGCTTGTGGAATTTCACCCATGTCAAGCTTGCTTAATTTACGCCTGTTAAACCGTCTAATCTCTATCATAATATGGTAATTTTATGTATAAATGTACAGAGCGTTTCGGTGAAACGGAACAATTATTTATTTTGATATCGATCGGATTCGACAAGCTGTTGCCCCTAGCAACTGAAAATTATATCCCGTGCAATTAACCAATTCCTGACTTCTGAACCAACAACCAACTGAAGTCTGCGAATTTTTAAATACACTCTATATAGTATATGGGTATCCCGAAGAATTGATCCCCAGCAACCTATGCTGATCGCATATGGGGCCACTTATTGGCTTAGCGACAGGCTTGAATTCGTCTCATCGTACCCCGACAGCGAGCATCGATGCTCACAATATTAATCACTGGATTGTCTGGTCGAGACTCCAACATTTACAGGCCGTCGTCATATAGGTGGAATATTGCGGTGCGGCGCACAACAAACGAACAGAGACATAAAAAAAAGAAACTAAAAGAAAACTGGGTCACAAAAAACACTTGACAGTTTGACAGACGCCAAATATAAAATAAGCATAATTTGGACAGTTATTTAAAAAAGTGCTGACAGCATATGATTTTTTGTTGGCAGCAATCTACTTTTGCAAGTTGGTTTCCTTGGTGATGAAGAAGTTGTCACCGAGGCTGAGTTGATATATATTTTTTGTTGCATACAATGCACTCACGGACGTCAGAAGGCACATAGATATGTTATATTTATTACATCTTAGTTTGTTTGTTGTTTAACGCCGCACTCAGCAATATTCCATCTCTATGAAGGCGGTCTGTAAATAATCGAATATGGACCAGACAATCTAGTGATTGATATCATGAGCATCGATCTACGCAATGGGATACAATAACATACATCATCCAAGTCAGCGAGCCTGGCCAACCGATCCCGGTAATCACCTCTTGCGATATCCATGGGTTCCTGAAGATCGGATCGGATCATGGTGGAACTTCACGGTTATTACATTTCAAACATATCATATTTTTACTTTTATGAGAAGAAAGGTATTGATCATACTGTATATACTATCGTCTCTCATAACCCTGCAAGTATGGCTTGTGTACATAAGTTATTCATTTAACTTGTTTATAATATTGATGTGTGTCTCTCTGTCAGTCTGTCCGTCTATGACTTGTGATACTAGAAATGTTTTTTACTTGATTGTTTGCAGTGGATGCAATGAAAAGTATATCGGAAAGACAGAACTTAAATTAAAAAGAAGAATGAATCTTCACCGTTCACAAATAAAGCAGCCACACAACCGCACGATTCCACTCAGTGAACATTTAGAAGCATGTGGAAACGGCAACTTTTTAGTTTTCCCGCTATATAAGCTAAATTTTGATCATGAACCTACATTGTTTCAAAAAGAGCAACATTTCATTCATAAATACGCGCCTAAGTTAAATGTAAAGGCGTAAGTTATTTGTCCATTGTCACCTTGGTATTGTGACGTCATAGTTTCCTAAATGTTATGACGTCACGTAACTATATGTTACTACTACATGTCCGTTATTCAGTTATGGCCTATATATATAGGTATCTACTAAAGGGGGAATAACATGGAATATTACCTACACGGATGTTGATGCCTGTGACGATTGCTAAATTGTTTTTATTAAACGTAACATTGTTTAATATATTTTCCATGAAATGATACAAAATGCAAATTCCTTTGTCGACGTAACAGAGGAATATGAACAAGGAATTTTTAATGTTAATTATCATAACATATGGCATGTATACATATAAATAATAATAAAAAATAAAATATCATCATAACATACTGCATTCACATTCTGTGCCGATTATACAAAGCATTTTTTGTCTCAAATGATTTTAACTTAAAACATATTTTCATTCAGGCCCTGACTGTGTATATGATAACTTCAAAGAAGCGATATAGGCATGGGCGAGTGTGGTTGATCACCTGCCGATGTGAGTCGCTACCGTGTCAAATCTACATCTGGGTTTGATCGGACAGCGCACGCGAACATCTGAAGGTGCGAGAAAACCTACTTGTCCGACACTTGCTAATTAGCTCACATTCATTTACCATCAGTGATGTTGTGTTGGTAGATCACAACTCTCATCGTGTCAGTTGCAAGTGTTGATTAGGTCAACTCGCATCATAAACACCAAGCCTCGGTGTCACGTTGCATTAACGTAAATATAACCTTTGACCTTTTGCGGAAATGGGTGTATCCCGTATTTTGATTGGCTCCTATTCCGCCTCATTCCCACGTGTGTTCTCGGTCGGAGATAACAAAGCGCATATAGAACACCGGCGTTTCTAAGACAGTCACGGAAAATAGTCAAACACAAATTGGGCAGAGGACGAAATCCCATGTCTGGATTTAAACTGGGAATAGTGCGCCTCGGCAGAGCGGCAGGGAAGGTAAGAATGACCTCCTATTTGTCAGAATATTGCAGAACACAGTGCTTCAATGTATTGATTTCGTACGAGCGAGCAAATAGCCATTGATTGAACGAAAGTCGGAATAGAAGGATGGATAGGCAAACAAAGACTGACAGATGGACGGCGAAACGTAGCTACACATAGCTACAAATATTTCCCCGTTACATGTTATAAAGGCCAAACCGACATTTTTCACGATTTCTCATCCCGCTAGAAATAAGCGAGTCGGTGTAGCCGTCGTTCCTGACCCAGTTCGTTGAATTCTGGCTGTCTAAAGAGATACTGCAGCCGATATTCAATTTATTATAAAATTTCCCCCATACTCTTCCTATTAGTATGTATCCCGTGTTCATTCTCAATTTACACCGCAAGTATATCCTCTGAATATTTGACATTCTACCAGCGGATCCAGGAGCACGAAATATGTCATTTGTTAGCGATGTTGATACTGTAGGCTGTGGAACATAGCATGAACGACACTGTAAACAAAAGCTTGCTACAGCGACAATCGGCAGTGAGGACAAAGTAAAATCAGTTAGCTATACACGCTATCGACCGAATCAGTCGACTTTATCGCATATTTCCTCACCAGTCCTTTCATTTATATTCCAACAATCCTTATTTTCAAGGAATCCTATTTTGACTGCTCGTACCATCCTGGTTTCGCACAGATAATTATTGATTAATGCTATTTTCGATATTTCATCCATTGGTTCAAATTTCGCCCTATATATTTCAGTACCACAAGGCCATCCTAAATTCTATTCTCTGAATTATTATTCTGTTTAAATCATATATTACGTATCCAGTATTGTTATAATATTTTGTTTAATTAAGTTGATGTCAGGTTGACCACATTTTACGTTTCATTCAAACTTTGCTTCAAAATGATGCTTAAGATAGAGTATTTACTTTACGGACTGTTTAGTAAACAGAGGCTGGAAATGCAGCTACAACTATGTTTTTCAAGTATGTCATTTAGAATATTAGGTCACCCTGACATTGTGACATTTTGTTCATGTCACATACAGCAATGTTTCAACAAAAATGGTTTCCCGAAATAATCTTCCTGTTAAATACAGTAATTCAGGACAGGTCTTGAGCAGTGCTTAGCTTAGGATGACACCAATCAACACTCAGCCAGCTAGTAATTAATTAATTAGTAGGTGTAGTTGTACATTCTTATTGTTTCGAGCTCCACACCTTGCTTAATGATGATTTACACAGAAGCTAATCAACAATACCTCGGCCAGGTGATTATGATTGACAGGAAAAACACAATTCTGATTAATTACTAGTATATTACAATAGAGAATGAATTGGTCTGATTGCCAGAACATCAACATCCTGTCAATCAAAGCCATGAAATTGACATGAAATAGACACAATTTAGTTTAATATTCCTTCAGTGAGGAAGTTAAGAACCAGAGAAAGTTTGAAATTGAATACATATTTGTGAAGTTTTTCCTCATATGAGCTGTCCAGGTGTGTGAGGTAGCTGACTGACCTACTTACTTTTGTTTCCTTGTCAAGCTATGATCAGCTGTTATTCATTGTCATCGAAGACGAAACCCTTTCCTGCATACTGATATATTTGTGTTGGTTTCAGAAACAGGACATCAGATTTTAATTTAAACTGTTTTATATATTTTTTAATTTGTTATGATAACTTAGGAGGAGACGCAGGTTTCATATTCATAACAGATCTATGGTTTGAGTCAGTTGGTCACAAATTATAAAATTTCAACACAACAAAAGTATCTGAAATTTGTTGATTTTGAATGTTATCAGTTACTGAAATCATGTAACTGACAGGGTTATTTAATTGAAACTTTGTATCAATTTAATGAGGTATTGAAGTTAATGGATGAAATGTTTTTCTTGACAAGGAAATTTGAACATATTGATCATTAGTTTGGTGTAACAATCAATCATTGATTATCATCAATACAGTTTCACAATATTACCACTAGGACAATTGATATTTGTTGATGAATGTGGTACTGTAAAAATTTAAATAAACCTAAATTTCAATCACATGATTTTTTAATATAAATATTTCACTATGAGATTGGCTGTGTGTGTTTGATTAGTTTTAATATTGAGGAAAGGAAATTGATTTTCATGGTTGACAACATATTATTTTCTACAGTGTTCATATAGTAACCTTGACAAATGTCACAATATACAGTTCGATTCTATCAGTTTGCTATAAATATATTCCGGCCCTCAACAGCTCGAGTTCGACCATTTGTAGGAACACTCAAACATGGCTTCATGTTGTTGGATTTTACTCTGTTTGTTGTCTTCGTGAGAATAATGTGGATAAAAAATTGATAGACGTTACATCCCTTTTGGCAGTGTGACATAAAATATGCATCTTCTGCACTAACTGTTGATTAGCGGACAGAAAGCAGTAGTCTGACTGCCTGGGGAGTGTTTATTGGGGAATTTACCTATGTCTGTATATCAGTGTGTTCTGGGGAGTCTTGGTAATATATTTTAGGAGGTCCCAGGATTTCAAATGCGGTACCCAAGGTGTCCCAACATCAAATAAAATACAAAGTATATATGATGCTAGTCTGCCTCCAAGACCCTGGAGACAAATTATGAAATGAATCCAACTCAAGCCGAGAATGATTTGGCAAGTCTAGATTGCCTCAGCTCTGAAAATAAGCATTGTTCTGAGCTCCCTGTTGATTACACTGTTTCTTTTGTAGATATCTGTTATTAGATAAGGTAACTTTATTTCTGGGACTAAGTGTTAATGTCATTCCTCATCCTTTTAAAGAATGAGATTTCCTTGTTCGAATTTGACCTGTGAAGATCCAGGCTAGAATAGGTCTTCAACAACCCATGCGACTGACTATGTTTGTCGTAAGAGGCGACTAACGGGATCGGGTGGTCAGACTCACTGACTTGGTTGATGCATGTCATCGTATCCCAAATGCATGGATTGATGCTCATGATATCAATCGCTAAATTGTCTGGCCCAGACTTGATTATTTACAGCAACCATCATATATTTGGAATATAAGAGTACTGTGTTAAACAACAAACAAACAAACAAAACTTGATTGAATTGAAATCTAACATACTGTCCAAATGTTAATTGTATTTCATATCAGAACAGAAATATCAGATTAATCTTACGTACATCATGCTTCAATTTATTTATTTTCATTCATTCCAACATCCGTTCTCATTTGCACCCAGTGCATCTTGCAGTTGGTAATATTTGTGTCCATTCTCATGCTTAGCAAGCAAAAAGATTTTAGTCCAGGAAACCTTGGTTGTTTTTCGATACAGTAGACACAATATTTTGATGAATATGTGGTTGTTCTATGATGCTTAGATAAATCTATGTCCTCTCCATTTTACAGATGTTTTAGGGGATGACATATAAGATCAATAGTTTTTCATTCCTACAGTTGGAAACTGGGGCATGGCCCCTTTGTCTAGGATGGTGCAATTTGCTGTGAAGGCTTGTGTTCCTTCGGTGTGCTAGAAACCTTTAAATTGTGTGTTTGAATCCCGTGTGTTTCTAGGTTTGTCAGCACCATACCCGTGCTCGTGGGTTTCACCAAAATAGTAAACGTCTGAGACCTGCATCACTTGGGGCTTTCCTCCCACATCAAGCTGACACACTGTTATATAAGTGGAATATTATAGAGAGTCTGTAGAACCCAACCCATCCACCCACTCACTCACTCCAGTTACATGCATTAAAGTATTTATAAAGAAGAATGTAGTGTTTGTATTTCTTTCAAATTTGATAAATCTGTTTCTATTGGTTAGCAATATTGAATGTGGACTTACACTTATCATTAAGTTTTTAAAGTGGCTACTTTTTTAAATTTATGTTTCTATAATTAACTCCATGTTGAGTTGTTTTAAAAAAATCACAATCATTCATCACCAGAATTTAAATCATGAATGTATGTTAGTCGTCTTAATCAAAGTCTAAATTTCAATTTGACATTTGACATACTTTTCATTTACCACGTCATTGATAGAATGTTAAGGAGTTCAAAATATTGCAAGATCTTCACTTTAAATGTGACTTAGAACAAACAAGGCCACTCGAAGACATTTGAAGGATTTTGAAAATAGGGGGTCAGTTTGATGTAGATCCTTTGGCAAGGGCTGCATCTGAGCTGGCCACATGTGGCTGCAGTGTCTCTTTGTGCTGGCAATACAGCAGTGTTTTTACAGCACTGGTCATTGTTGACCGAGGTTGGTCAAATTGTTACAGCTATTGTCAAACTCGTGTGACCCTTTGACATCTGTTTCAATGTCAAGAAACAGCTGTTTTGCTAACACTGCTAGAATAGTTGGGACGACCCTTTTTTCTATTGTCTGTTTTATGTTTGACAAACCAGAGACAAAAGCCTGGTCATGAAATAAATATGAGTTGAATACATTTAATTTTGCTTGAAAGGTCCAACCTTGATGAATCAGAAAATTTACATACAACTACAATTATCGTATTAAATTAGAATAACAATTGACATTTTGAATTATGATTGATCAAATATACTCCTCTAAGAAGTTAAAGAACACGGATTCTTTCATGTTAGTATAGCTAATGTGTCGTGTTATGGCAGATTGATGATATTAATGTGAAAGAATTTGGTGTTCTTTAACTTCTTTTGAGGAGTTTGTAGCCTGTGTCTGAAGACAACTTCTAAAAACAATTGAACAAATCCTCTTCAGAAGTTAATACACATACATGCTATTTTAGGAAATAATCAGCCTCCTGTAGTTTAGACATGATTAGCATCTATTTTTTCCACTACCAGACTGACAAGCAACTTTATGCCAAGTAAAGTACAAAAAGTTTGACCAACAAAATTTTATTTTTATTTTGACTGACCCAGCTAATTGGTTAGCAAAAATCCATATCACCAAATCCCATCATTAAACCATATAATAAACCCTTATACCCCAAATGTTATGATCAAATTGCTTATGTTATT